TTCTTCCTTCTCTTCCTCTTCGTCCATCACCTTCTCCTTCTCCTCCTTGTCCCCCATCGGCTCCTCTCTTTCACGACGTATGAGAACGTCCGGCGACGCGGCTGCATCGCATAGAGCGGCGCGCGGCATGCATTATGGAACGGGCGGGCAACGATTCTGCCGGAAAAATTGCGGACACGCGAAACGGACGCGATCTGCAGCCCGACGACCGACCGGCCGTCTCTCTCTCTCTCTCTCTTACTCTCTTCCCACCTATCCGTGCGGATAACAGTGTTTCCCAATTTAATATGGTGACCGAACCCTTCGAAACGCGACCAGACGTCGCGGTGCGCGTAATTGCGCGACTTCAGGAGGAGATTCAAATATTGTCGTCCCTTCTCCCCGATAGCGTTTCCCGTAATATCGACTCTTCCGCCTGCCGCAGCTCGTCGATTCGACCGAGCGCTATATATTCGTACTATTGTAAAGGGGAACGATACATATCGAAGTGACAATCAAGTCTGAACTGTTGGCGATTTGTGACTCGCTAAATTTATGTGCGCAAGTGCAACGTTACTGCTGCAAGTGGGAACGTTAATTGGGAGGAAGTAAAAATGACGAAATCGTTTCACCGCACGAAGTGAAAGATTGTGTTCTTCATTTCGGCTTCGTCCGGAGTTACGAGGAACGCTATTTGGGAAACACTGACGTAGAAGTACCTACGTAGGTACCGATCTACGTGTTGCCGACCTACCACTCTCAGTCGACCCCCGCGGTACTCGTCGCGGAAGATTGCTTTCCTATATCGCGTCCCCGTCCCGGTTACGACTGCTTTCCATTTTGCAAGAAACGGTCGGAGGGTCTATGTAATGTTGACGCGCTGCGAGACCGAGGTCGCCGACCAATCACGATCGCATGAACACAAGCGGCCCGAGCTTGCGAGCTCGAAAAATGTACCCGCGTTTCGAGACGGATGCGGAATGATGCTTTTTTTTCTTTTTAAGGGCAATGCCGACCATCGCGAATTTATCTTATTAAGGAGATTGCGAAGCTCAGTGTCGTATTTTCAGTGGCGTGTCGTAAATTTAATATTTATGAAACGAGGGGGGTAACACAGGCCTTAAGGCTTTAACGTAAGAAGGAGAAAACTTTTCTATACTTTTATTTCACTGCCTAAATAATGAATGTTAATTTGAAACAAAGCTGAGGCAAAACATATATAGTATAAATATTTATTACAAATACGAAAATATTATTTTATTATTTCGTTTCTTTTTTACTTTCCGTGTTAATGCTACATTTATGCATCAGTTGATTTAACAGAGATGCACAGATAATAGAACGAGGTATGTACGTATTTAAATATGTGCATATTTACATGTGTATTTCGAATATTATTATAAATTATAAACTTGACATCGCTGCATTTTCAAAATCAAATGGCTAATAATTCAGAAATTTGTGTATAAAGTCTGCATATTAATATTTAATATTATAATAGCTTGTCGTTGCAATGTTATTTTTCGTTTAGTTCGGAAGATAGTAAAAATAAAAATTAAAAATGACATGCTGATCTTGAAAAAAGAAACATGTGTAAAAAGTATCAACTTTAGGTGCAAATACTTCAGCTTTCGAACGGTCAGTATTTTTTCCAATTGCAATTAGATAATATTTCAATACGTAGTGCAAGTTTCGTCAAACTCATTTCGCCTTACAACCACCTTAAAAAAATTAAAAAAAAACATTCACGGTTTGGAAACGTATTAAATCGCATGATGGAGAATCAAAAACGGTATTTTATGTCCTTAGGATAACACATTGTTTATGTGGATCTATGAAATGTCATTCAAATCCCCACGTCATTAACGCGTGTGGCTTTTACAGATAACTGAACGAACGACTTTATCGCAACATTCTTCGATTTCAGAAGTACCACTGTGATAAATATTATAACGCGCTATAATCCCGCCGTGAGATAGGGAAAAGAGATTCAACAACGCGATGGCATTACATTCGCGCGCGCGCGCGCGCGCTGACGCCGAAATATACAAAGAGAAAGAGCACGTCCGCGCGCGGACGCGTTCTTTTGACGTCAACGCGCAACGAAAAGCCGTGCGCAAAGCAGTCGCTGATAAATCTATGCGCGGAGAATAACTGGGAAATAATGGCGAAACGAAATGAGCGTTTCGTGCGGCGTGCTCGATAAAAATACGAGGCAAAAAGCTCGCGCGACGCGACCGGCTCTCCCTTTCCCTTTGCCCGTTGATTCAGTCCGCTCGCTTCGCGAAAGAGATATGACGGAGGAAAAAAGCATTAAAAGGAAGGTGAAGAAGAAGAAGAACCAACCAATCAACCGTCCAACCGACCAACGTACCTATCCGTCCGGCCGCGTAGCGCTGATGAAAGGTGGATATATTCCCATCGTGTCCGGAAATTGTCTCCGTGATGTGCGACTAACGATGTTTTAAATTTGGGAAAACGCCCGGGAAAAATAAAGCCCACCCCCCTCTCTCTCTCTCTCCGTCCCCGACGCGAATATTCCAGCCGCTGCTATTCACGAGGAAATCGCGCGAACTAGATTACGCGCGGAAACTTCTCCTCCACTGCCTTTGGCTGCGCCATGAGCGAGCGCGGGCGTCTCTTTGAATGACGTCTTGTTATTCAAAGATCTAACCCGGCCTCGCCCTCCCGTCGGCCGTCGACGCGTCGCACATGCACCGGTATTAACTCCGAACTATTACGACGGCGTCGGATCTAACCGCAGTGCGGACAGTTCGTGAGATATATCCGTGGAAGTTTGCTGACCTCGGTTTTGCTATCGCGAAATTAAATGGCGAAACCGCGCAAGTTGGAGGAGTCGCGCGGATCATTAACGTGAAAGAGAGGTGGCCGTATCTTTTTTCCCCGTCGCCTCCTCCTTCTTTTTTCCGCCGACGACGATGCCGTCATAGGCGGTTACGTTATACGTAACGAACCGATCCCGAGTGTGGAGTCCCTCTCGTTATAAGATAATTAAAAAATGATAACCATTAATTTTCTCCCTCGCGCAAAGAACACTCCGTCTCATCGGACTTGTCTCGTTTATCAGAAGACTGCAATTTTTTTTGCGACAATCCAGGCGATCGAAAATACGCCCCCGCGGGTGTGTGTATCGCAACCCGAGCCGAAATATCGGATCTATGTTCATCTTGCAAATTCTATCGAACCTGATAGATCAGTGAGGAATCGTGAGATAGAATATATGGTATTCATACGGACTATTGTTCTAACTTGATGCCGTCAATGCCTATTTACTGTGATTTTGGTGAAATTGAGGCACATATTCAATAATTATTCAACATTTGATCTCAATATTCCACTTGCATTTAATATTCTTAATTTCAATAAGCAATGTATCAATTTCATGTAACTTACTCAACTGCACATATAGAATATTGTAATAAACTAATATTAAATGAATAGGCAAATAATGGATCAACGGATGAAAAATACTTTCTTATTCATAATTCTTTTCTTAACGGAGCTGAACCAAGTTGTGAGAAACGCATAAACAGATTTGAGCTAAAATTCGTGTCGTGAAAGGAGTATTGTTAGTAAAACAAATCTCAGCACTTGTGTGAGGCATAAGCCGGTATTCATAATAATAAATTATTCACGTTCTTTGATTGAGAGCGTAATTAATCGCACATTCGTATTTACGGGCCGTTAATCGACCGTTTAGGTAAATATCTCTTGTGGTATAAAACAAGTATAGCTAAACAAATAATTAGAGATTCATGAAGTTATGATTATTTTCCAAATGGTAACGCACGATGAATACCTATTGTAGAGTAGATTCTACATTTCGACTCGGATTTCATAACCTACGTGTTAGGTGCAATCAGGTGTTTCTCGAGGATCACACAGGCAGCGCGTACGAGCGGATCCGATACGAATGGCGAGCACATTTGCTTTATGATCCCGGCAGATGGTCTCGCGACGGAGAGATTAACGGCATCAGGGTAACGAGCGAATTACGGGAAGCACACTTTCGCGGAAAAATTACGTAAGGCAATCGTCTCCGCGGGCGAGTCCCCGCCGATGTACCGAGTGTCGTGCAAAATGAGGAGAACGCGTAATGACAGGCTGCCGGCTTTAGTGGGCATGATTGATAACTATCCGATGCGCCGATCGAAACGGGAGAGCCATTACTTATCTCCCGAATGACTACCATTAAGCGCGTTCCATCGCCGATGTTGGCGTGCCAGGGCGGACTTTACAATATTCAAAGAGGAACTCCACTCGATCAGTAGCACGGAAATAATTATTCTCGATTACTCTTGCCCCCTCCCTACCCGCTCCCCGCCGACCCCGCGGCACTTTGCGTACAAGCGGGCGTGTTGTCGTAGTTGATTTAAATATCGGTGAGCTTTAATGCGAACGCAGTACGCGGTGACTATTTCCATTTGCAGCTGTCTATGCAGTTTCCACTCGAAACGGCCCGAATTAGCGGCGAAAATACGAGCTGATGTTCTGTTTCTCCCTTTCCTTGTCAAATTACGAAATATTAACGGAGGTTAATAGGCGATAAGTGTCGACGATGGCTTCGTCGAGATTGTAGTCTTGAAATTATTCAACGGTGAAAATTCAAGTCTCGCTGCCGACCGAGCTTCTCGAAATATTGGAAACACGTGAAAATATAACCGTATTTAATGATAAATATCAAACGATCCTTCGTCGGGCGACGAAATTTCGAGTCGAAATATCACGCACGTGTTCAGCTTTGAAGTGTCAGAAGGCACGAAGGGTGAGGGACTCTCTCTCGTTGGGAGCTACATACGCTCGATTACTATCTTTTCAGGCGCGCTTCGGCGGGCAAATCGTAGCTCAAAGTCGCGAGTATTACATTACGCCCGTACGTAATCGTGAGGCAATTGCGCGTCTATGTTTCAACGTAGCGAAACGAGCCGAGACGAGCGGAGCGGCGGCGATCGCTAAGGAACCAGATATTACTTGATACTTAGTAAAGAGACGCCGCTTACCTGAAGGTGGACCTGACCGTTGTTATCGACCCATCCGATGACCATGTCAGCACCGGCGCGACCGGACTCGGTTGCCTTCGTGAAACCGAGTCCGACATAGCCGAGGGTCTTCACTTGGATCTCGAACGTAACGTCCCTCTCGCCGGGCGTCCACAGCACCAAGAAATTGTTGTCCAGCACGGCGCTATGCTTCCACTCGACGGAAACGACGTCGTTGACGAGGAGAATGAGGAGGAGGAGCGAGGCGGGGCCGACCGCAGTCTTCATCTTTCCGAGAGCGCGCGCGGTACGGGCTCAAAACATCTGAAACACAGAAGGCGGAGGGATACCTGAGGTGACCGTCTCGTTTACAGAGGGATAATTTATACTACTCTGAAATCTAATTCGCTTAATGGATAATACGGATGGAGGAAAACGACGTTTGTTAACGTAATGTAACGTCCTTGCCTCCCCTTCTCTCTCTTTCTTGGTAAGATATTTCGTATTTCTGCAAACACAGCGCTGCCATCCAGTTACCGAAACAAGTAAACAATGAAATAACGGCCGCTTCTTGGCAGAAGAAATGACGAGAATTGACCTCTCGGATATCAAAATAGTAACTAAAAGCAATATTTCTCATCTAATTCTGAGAGTAATTAAGGCCATTTAAGCAGAAGAAAATAACTTATTCTTACCTTCCTAGATGTATCTTTGGACAACGAAATATATATAACGAGTTCTCTTTACAATATGGTTTGAACATTTATAACATGAACGATATAATACAAGTATGCTTTCAGAGCAGTTTTATTCAGAGAGACGGCAACAATATATAGAACGCTTATATACAAGAAAAAAAGTGATTGCAGTGACTTAAAATTGGCCTATTTGGGATGATAATGAATTTTTTAGTGACTCGTCAAAGAAAAGTGACTTAAATAACAGCGCTGCAGACACGCGCGCATGCACGTACGAGCGGTGAGGCTCAGCATCGAGTGTCATCGAGATTGCGACATTATGATTTATCAGATCCCGAGCTCGAAAATCGCTCGAGAGCGCGATGTATTATTTGGAGAGCACCGGAGTTCGCGAGTTGTTTAAAGTTTTCGCAGTAACCGCCGCGAAATGCGGCGCGGTGCGTAAATATCCTTCTGCAAACACGTGATATAATATATCATTCCGTTGAGAATAGAATTTCGCAAACACTAGACACGCTCCCCCGGAAATGGAGCGGTAATGCAATAAAAACGCTAAATGGAGGAAAAACAATGTCTCTCGCGGCGCGGTTCGTTGCATTTTCAAAGGCAACAAAACCGGTGGAACTCTTTCAGATGCTCGGCCGCGTAATATCAAACAACCTATGCCGATATTTTCCTTCGATATTGCGACGGCGGAGTCCGCGTGTGTGTTTCGCGTCACCGACGCGCGCCCATTATCCGCGAAACGACTGGTTTCGAAGCTATCCGCCGTGTTTAAAGCGCAAACGATCGCCTGGCGCAATGCCGTCTCTCTCTCTCTCTTTTCACTTCGGCGTTCGCGCATGTGTGCGCATCCTGGTGCACACCGGCGCTCGCCCTCTCACGCGACTCGCGCCGGGATAGTCGTACGCATCGTGTTTTATCGTCCTTAAGGACCACCGGCCAATGCAACGGCCGGTTTACGCTCGCGTTCTACTTGAAATCGCTTCAACCTCTTTACGGTCTGCCTCGTTCTTTTGCCCCGCGCGCGCACGCTCCAGCCAGAAATACCGTATTTCGCGCCGGGACGGAAAATACAGCTCGCTCGCGCGAAAATATTACGTATGTCGGGTGTATCGCCTTATTTCGTGCGAGAATAAACTCGGCTCGACGTAGCGCTACAATTATATATTTCGAAATCTAGTTCAACCGTTTTAAAAGGGCTTCGCGGCAACAGCGGAAAATGGAGCAGTGTAAATCGTATTGGCAAAAGTAAGCTCTCGTGAACGAGGTGCGTCGAGAAAAAGTAGAGGAGAGAGAGAGAGAGAGAGAAGGAGAGAATGAAAAAAGGAACTCGAGCAGTATCACATCCGATTCCTTTTAAAACGTCGCAATAAGGTATTCGATCCTTTCTTAAAGCGTCCGCAGCATAACGCTTATATTCCGCAGCAGCGAGACACATCCGACGAGCGAGCGAGCCAACCGGCGCTTTTTCCCGGGCAGGAATACTCATAAATAACGATCAACGTCACGGTTAATTTATCTTGGCGCCAATGCGGCAGTCGCTGCTCGCTCTGCATTTTCAAGAATCAGACGAGGCGGCTTTAATAGGCCACCATTCAACGAGGACATTATCGTCGATTCCCCCGGCGAAATCGGTATTGACCTCTTTATCAGCGATAGCGCTTTGTTTCCCCGGGAATAACGAGGTTACAACGGCGGGCGAAGTAACGGCTACGGGGGAAACGCGGGAAAATTAAGTTTCCGGCGGAATGAATCCGCGAACAAAGAGAAACTCCCGTTTCATCGCGCGCGAACGTCTCGGAAAAGGATGGGCCGGATTGAGGTCGGGATAGCCGGTGCTACCGTTTATTTTGCATTTTCAGCAATCAGGCACGTCCCGCGGTGGGGAGAGAAAAGAAAAAGTCAATTTGTACTTGCGGAGTAAGCGTTTCGCGCGGAGCGGCCGAGCGGGCGCTGGCACGAGTTAAGGCCGAGATTGCTGCTGTGGCAGCGGCGGCAAGCGAGCGTTCTCGAGATCGCAGGTGTACGGCTGAAATATAAGCGCCGCCGCCGAGAGCGCTGCTCGTTTTTGCGGTGGAATTTATTCGATCGAAAATATCGGCCGCGATACCGGCGGTCGAATAAATTGGCAAAAATGGGCGGCGCCGCTGCCACGAGTTGCGCTCGCGCGGATGCACCGCGGCCGGCGGCGGTTTCCGCTCGCCCGGCGCGACCGGCACACCGCTGATAAACTTCCGAATAATCATGGAAATATTCAGACGACGGATTCTCAGATGACCAGAGAGAATCGAAATTCACGCGGAGCGAACTTCGCGACGATCCGACGCCGTCTTCTCCGCGCGACGAGAATAAGGATCATTCGGCCTCGGCGAGTAAAAATCCGACCTAAGGAGGCGCGTGTAATTATTATCCAACGATCAGAATCACCATCGTCTCGAATTCGATTGCCAGCGAGGCACGAACACCACAGATTGTTAGAGGCTCCGAAAAAAATCGGGGGTTTTTTCACTTCTCCGCGATTTTATCCGCGAAAAATGCGCAAAACACGAAGAACATTTTTTTTTTTATTTCAGTACGATTTTGACCGGGCTTTTCATCGACATGCAAACCCCGGAAGCTAATTAATGCATGTTTAGGAGCCATCCGAATTTGACGCAGGACCAGTTATATATAATCGGATGTCACAAGTGATTTTTTTTTGTTTTTGTGTGTGAACATAAATAAGCAAGGTAATTACGCGTATTATTGTTTTTTTTTTAAATACAAAATAATAGTGTTATATCAGGGTCGAATGACGCGTGTAACCACCTTTCAACTTCATCGTCCTACAGTAACAGGTGAAAATAACAAAGAGTAAAGAAATCACGATTTTCCAAGTGCAAACACTGCTATTCTCGAGACCATTGGCTAAATTCGAATTTCTCTCGGTAACTTAAAACTTGATTTTCTCTGAATACATGAACAGACATTAAAGGGTAGAAGGGTTACATTTTATCTCTTTCATAGTATCCCAGATATGGAATTTAGAAAACTGCACAGACTCAATGCGACTCTGTCGAAGGGTCAAAGCTGCAACGAACGCGCACCGTTCGTCGTGATGGAGAGCCGCGGAGACCCCGCGCGCGGAACTTTTCCCTTCCCTCCCGCCGTCGCTGCAGCCGCTGCAGTCGCGAATCGTCCGCCAGCGGTTCGCTGCACCGGCTCTCGTGAATCGCCCTCTCGCGAACCGCTCACAATTCGCCGCTTTTTCGCGACCGCGGAAGCAGAGACGAGCGCTTCATCAAGATCATTGATCGAGCGGGAGCGCGGCGGCGGAAGCGCGGAGCCGATCGCGTACATGCACCTGCATGTACCGCGGCAACACGCACGTGCGGCTGCAGTTCGGCGGAGAGGGGCGCGGGGGAGGAAGGGGGGAGGGGCCGCTGAACCTCCGACCAGGGATCGACCGCGGATCTGCAAACGATCGTTTCAATTAACGGCGACAATGGCGCGGCGCATCGGCCGATACGCCGCAAATAGTAAGTCAATCCGGCGTGTACACGCGCGGAAATCATCGACGAGTTCGGCACCAAACACCGGGGGCCTGGATGGTTTAATCCCTCGCAATCGCGCGGTGTCCGAACTGATGTTTGCCGTGGCGCGCGGATACTATTTGCGACGTAATTGTGCAATGAGATTAACAAGATGCATTTTACGCGGGCGAACCCAGCTCCGAGCGATACTGCCCGCCCGGTAACAATGGCTGTATGTTCTTTTTTTTTTTTTTCGTTTTCTCCTTTCTCCATACCAAACGTCACTAATGATATATCGAGGGTAACGTGATTGTGCGGGCGAGCTGACAGGATGCGTCTCGAATAAGTAGGTGTGAGGGGCAACCGCCGGTCGATGACGCGACAATCGTTCTGCCTGAAGTATCCATAGGTCGTTGATTGAAATGATCCGATAATTTGTGCAAATGAAACGAATCAAGAGGTTTCAACGATCGGGACGAGACTTAAGATACGTATTAAGGGCGTTAAAAGTGGATGCCGTACTTGAAAACTTGATCGACAGAATACCGATTCCTTTTTCTCCCCGCACAGTTTGCGTCTTATCGGTTGTACAGAATTGTAACTGTTTTTTGCGCAACGAAAGTACGCGAGGAAATTTATTGGAGCATTGCTCAACGCGTGGCAAAAACGATTACAAATTTCAAAATTGACACCCGTAACTGTCATTTAACGCGTCTACCTGATAGAGAAATCCCGCAGCTTATACGTATCGAATGTGTCAATGCTGCGATCAGAACGATTTCGAGGAACATTTTCATACCTACGAATTTGTATACCTATGATACCTTTTCAATCAAATTTAGAGGCCTAAAAAGGTACGAAAAGTTTGCCGAAAATTTCTAATACGTCTTGGTTAGATTCTTCTTTACATATGATAAGATAAAGTAGCGCATATTCATCGCACCTATATTTACATCGCTTTTACATTGATATAAAATCGATATACGCAGAAGGTATACATATAATAAATACAGAAAGAGTCATGTGATCGTGTCAGTATTTACACAACATAATTCATATAACATAATAATATTTTGCGTAAGAATCGCAACAGGCAAGCGTTCGAATCAGG